TCAGTGCAGTGCAGTAAAGATTAGATGGATTGTATGATGATATGGACCTTAAAATTAATAAATCAGGCCAAAGATATTGTGCTTGATAGGGAAAATGAAGTGAACAAGAACAAATTATATATAAATGGTGAACAGTTAGAGAAAGTAGATGAATTTGTGTGCCTTGTTAGAATATTTACTGAAGATGGGAAAATGGATTCAGAAATATTTGATGTAAAATTCTGGGAGAGATAATGGGTAGTATGTTGTCCATTATGAGGAATAAATGTTTGTTGAAAGAAGCAAAAATGGCTGTGCATAGGAACATATTTCTCTCCGCTTTGTTATATGGAAACAAGAGTTGAGTATGTCAGGCGAAACATTCTCCTAAATTGAATATAGTAAGAATGAAATACTTTAGTATGCTTTAAAACCAAAAGGGGTAAGCAAGAACAAATGGGAACTGAGTAAATGTGGATTGAGTGATCACTATGAAATAAGAACATTGGAGTGGTTTGGTCGTAGAGAGAATGAATTGCAAAACGAATGTAGGAAGAAAGAGTGAATGGGTCAAGAGGAAGGGAAGGACTGAGAAGGTTGTAATTAGTTGATCAAGTCAAAGAGAGAGAGAAACCTCATAGTCTTGTAGAGTGGATGGTTGCGGGTTTCCACCTCCCCTCCCGGAGCTTGTCTGGAGCTGCCTGTCCTTTGGCCCTACCTTCTTGCCTTGGCACAGACCATTAGTAGTAATTGCTACAATCCCCTGTCTGTTGGGAGGGGGAGTATGCATTTGCTTGGCCTCCTCCCCACCACCCAACCCTGGCATATGGGACTGATGGGGTTCCCACAACCCACGTGCCTTAGGAAGCAGCAACAACAACATCAACTGTCCACCCTTCTCCATACAGATGTGATCAGCCACACAAAGGATAAATGTTAACTTTACTGGGGAAAAAAAAAGAAAAAAGAGAGTAGAGACATTCTTTTGGAACTTTCAGTAGTAAAGGACATAAACATTTCAGAGAATTTTCACCCAGGGGAAAAAAAAAATGGGAAATTTAAAATTAGAAGATTCTGAGCAAAATGTGAGATGGCATTTGCTAAATCAAGGAAGGCTGCGTTGCCCAGAGTATGCAAACCTCACCCAAACACTGGGCTTGCATGGAGGACGTATCAAAGCACAATCAGAATGAATCAATCAAAATACCTAGTAATTAAAGCAGACTCAAGCGCACACACAGTCGAATTAAAGCATAAAAGCTTTTTTTAGATTTCTAGCTAAAAATATCCATTCCTTAGAGACAGAACCGTTTTTGAAGGGAAAGATCCACTTTGCTGCCCTGGATCTTCCCACTCACTGTCTTGCAGGTTGCAGCCTTTTTTCAGAGATTCTGAAATCTCTGATTCGTTGTTTCAGTCCCCTGGTTTTCTGAAGCTTGGATTTAAAAGAGCCACAGTTTTCCTTTCAAGAAAGAGGGAGGGCTGAGGGTATCTTCATGGTCTGTGTGCAGGCAACATTAACTCTTCTGCTCGAGAGGAAGGATGTTGATTCTGGGTTTGGAAAGAGAAATGGGAGTCTGGAGTATCAGTAAATGTGGAGTCCTTGGGGTTCTCTGAGCTTGGTTCTTTTCTTGCAAACGTTTCATTACCCAGCTAGGTAACATCTTCAGTGCTAAAATGGGATGGGGTTTGCTCTCTATTTATGTGCTATGGCCTGCCTTGCTCCACAGTTCAACCCTGAGCTACACATATTCACCTCTATTGGTATCAGTAAATGCAAGCTGTCTGAGCTGCCTTTAGGAAATTTAATAAAAGGCAGTGTTTGAATTGTTGTATGGACATGTTGGAAACAAAGATAAAAAGGTATGGAGGGAGTATAGTGAACGGCATTGGTGTAACTTTTCAAACATCAACCATATTCACTTTATTGTATACTTTCTTGAAACCAGGGTTCCTC